ATATCATAGTTCGAATAGTGGACCTCAGGATACGCAGCTTGGGACTCTAACTGCTAGACTAAAACAGTCAATATTTCAAATTGGAGCATGCATGATAATTGAAGATGCTGTTCAATTTTAATGTCATTTATATATTTTGAAATTTAATTTTTAATTCCATAAAGAATCAAATAAACATGGTCACTAAGATGTTATAATTTTTTATTAATAATGCTCCAAACAAATTTTAAAAATTATAAGACTTGAGCAAACTTAATTCGTTATGTTAAAAAAATTGAGTCTCTTAGTTACCCAAGCTACAAAACTTAAAAACGCTGTTTACTTTTGAATAAGTTCGACGTTTCGCTTTTTATTCATGCCGAAAATATAGTGACAACAACTATTGTTATTATTACTTGTTATTGCAAGCAAAACTCCAGACCACTTCAGCCAAAATGTTGAGCCATTAAAAAAACTGGAACTCTTTAACTGACCATTTTGAGAACTAGAGATCGTACTAATTATACCACCCCTGAAATTCCTTACTGCTTATTTAAATGTCAATTTTTTTGTAATTATGTAATATATAAAGCTATTTTTTAAATTTATCTAATATGTAAAGCTAAGTTTGTGTTTGTTTGTTCGCACCTTTCAGCCCATATAATAGTAGGCCTATAAAGATATGGGATCAGCGTACTCAGGTTTAATGTCTCTGATGTAACATTTTTAGTGTCAATGAAAACTTCGTAATCTAATTTTTTCCACAGTAGATGGAACAGATTTTTGGTCTGACTTAAGTTGAAATGACGTCAGAAACATGTATGTGTATTTTATCAAGAGATGTGCTGCCGTTGTATCAGAATAAAAATCCATCAAACGCTGTCGTGTCTACAGACAAGCAAGACTGACTTTTTATAGAATAGACAAGCTGAACCCACAAAATTCTCCAAAAATACATTGGTTTTTCTTCACTTTATTTTCTGGCGCTGATTATGTACCTCAGAGTAAAATGTCGAGATAAAGGAAAAACAATTCTGATTGCCAATCTCAAGCAGCAGAACGTATGTAACAAAAGCGACAGAGTGATATTCTACAAGAAAGGGAACACTCCTTGATAACCAAGAAAAAAACAAAAAAAAAACAATGCTGCTCAACGTCAAGTCCAGACTGAGCAAGATCGGCAATTTCGCAGAGACACTGACGGCATCCGCCATGCAGAACGCCGTCCGCCAGAAACATCAAGAACACAAGATCTTCGTTTGATCCTTTCTGTTTAAAAATAGTTAAACATCGGCCTTCTATTCAGGTAATACCTGGGCAACGGCTGGTTTCCTCAAAAAAAAGACTAGCTTTGTAGAAATAAATATGTTTGTGAAAATAACAATGAGTAACAATGAGATATCTAATTACAAAAACCGTTAACAGATGACTGATACTTTTTGTGTTTTTACCTTACTGGACGAGTTGGGGCTTTATGGCGGTTTATTTATTATTTTAATAATATCGTATAATTTAGTTATTTTAAATTAAAAACTTTTCATGATATAACATATTGCAAGTTGAGTTGAAAATAAAATTATTTTATTACGGAATTATCTCTGTACTGTTAATTTTGCTTTCATATCAAGTAGTCAACGCAAATCAAAAAAAAGGAAAAAGGATGACAACAGTCCATTTCAAATGTACTTCATGAACGTACAGCGTTAGATGAATTAGCAGACTAACAAATAGTGCTTTGTGTTTCAATCACTATAGACCAGTTAAAACATTTCTATGAACAGAAAACCTAAAGGGAAGGCAAAACATAATGTTAATTTTCGAACAGACGATATTGGTGAAACCTGTACCAGTATATGCATGTCGCCGTGAGAGGTTGACAAAACACAGCTGTTTCTATCAGCAGTTTGGTTAGGAAGTTACGAGAGACAGATAGTGTAGCCGACTGATAATATCATCATGAGCTGCTGCACACTCTCGTCATAACCCGAACTCCAACAGCATGGATGTGTCCAGGTCGTTCCATTCATACAAGATGGTGTCCCGATCCCTTGCTAACTAACCTGTAAGACATTGCTGACTAAACTTTTTGTGAGATCGGGTTTTTAACCGTCACTTCCACAACGTCTGGCAATCATGCTCTCTTGAATTTCCCCTGCTGACTACTGGTTCTTTTTATTTTCTGAAGATGTAGGTTTATTACTCTAACTAAGCAACCATTCCTTGACTGAAGGATACCATTGCGACAGAGCTCTGAGCGATTTCTGGGAAGGTGTTGCGTGCTATAGTATCCAATATCATTATTAGGTTTATTTACTTGCTTGTCTTACGATTTTCGCGCAAAGTTACAGTCTGAGTGAATAGTGGGATTTCACAGTCACTCTTATAGCTCACCCACGTTTCCATAAATCTTCAGATTCACAGTTCCGCATACTACCATCAGTAAGAGAGACGAAATAATGGAAAATGAGAGTGGCAACATTCGCCATTTCAGCCGTGGGAGCGTTATAATGTGACGGCCAGCGCAAATAGTCCTCGAGTAGCTTTGCTCAAAAGTTAAAAAACAAGCAACGTTAAACAGTATGTGAGAAAATTGATCCAGTTCTGCGTCCTTGACTAAAAGATTAGAAACTGTACGTGTTCTTGTGAGAAAGAAAACGAGAGACCTAAACTAAACGTTTTGCTGCAACCAATAATTGTCTTTATTTTTAATGTGGCCAGAACTGCGTTGTACTAACAGTCATCCAATTTAAAAAACGTTTTAATTATCTAATTATTTATTTTTTGCATGCTATTTTGATAAAATATTTCACTAACGTTATTCAGAAGTTATAGGCAAGTTTTGACGTCACATTTTTAATCGGCTGTGTATAATATTTTAAAACGATTCTTATTAAATGTCGATGTTAGCCGAAATGTGGAAAAAGATTACTAAATTAATTTGTTCTTTAATATTAACGAAAACAGAAATTCGCAATAGCAACAGGGTAAAGGTTTCGTCAAGTGTTAGTAAATTATCTGTACGTAACCGAAACTCTTGTTTACCACAGGATTTCTTGAAATTTCTACTCGAAACGTTACAATAAATAGAGGTAGGAAGTTCCTGTCACTTAAACTTACCTTACCTTCACTGTGATTAATATTCTGTTTGGAAATTAATTGCAATAAGCGCAAAAAAGTTTTACTTGTCCTAAATAAAATTAGTTTAAAAAACTTTGAATAATGTCAAACTTCTATAAATGAACTAAGCCTACTCATAAAGAATTCGTGTGGGGGAAAAAACCCACGTTTGTTCACGTAACTAGAATTAATATTTTTGTGTGGTTAGACTTTTCGTTCTTATCACTACTGATACGTAATAAATATTCATATGGATGGCTAATGACCTTCATAAAATAACCATCAGCATATATGCACGGCTGTGCCCTGTACGATAACTGGTTTGTATTCAAAACAGGACAAAAAAAAGCAAAAAATAAATCAAAATCCATCGTCTATTTAAGAACGAGTAATTATTTTTGTATTCTAAACCGTTTATACCTGTCGTGCGGTAAATATTCAATAGCCATTCATAGACCGTAAATTAAGTGATTTGCTAACAACACCATCCAAGGCTCGACTCTTCATAAGTAATCGTACTAACAGAAAGACATAACTTATAAAACTCTCTTTTTTTTTAAGGTTGGAGGGATCTATCTAAAATTAATGCAAGAAGAGAAAAAAGCTTATCACGAAATAATGTTCACTCTTTCAGTGTAAACTATACTACCTGGTACATATATTGAAAACCGTTGAGAAATAAAATAATATACCCTAACATAAACGCAGGGGACTTGAGAGATAGTGGTAATGCTTGTTTTAATTGGTGGTAGTAGTACGTTAGTCAACGCAGTGTGTTTGGCCTAAGTTGTTTTTGTGATTTATATATAAATTATAATATATAGTACTTTACAGATTGAAACTTTATACTTAAATGAATGAAAAAGGTGTTATGCACGTGGCTATAAACAATCAGCTGAACTTCTTGTATTTATTACGTTTTAACTTCAAGATGAGTACTTAATCAGTGTCCGGAGGTTTTAACGAGAGCAGATCGTTGGTTTGATTAGTGTATGTGTGTATTGATGTTTTGCTAAGTGACTGGTATATAGATTGATTAATTCACGTGTGCACTAAGATTTTAGTAAAAGTGCGAAGCTACTCGACAGTTTTCTGCACTAGCCGTCCTTAAAGTGATAGCTTATAGGGAAGGCAGCTAGTCAACATAACCCACTGCCAATTACTTACCAACCAAAAGTGGTATCGACCATCATATCATCCCCAAAAAGCTGAAAAAGCATAATCAGCGACAGGTTTCGGTCTCCTAACCAGCTAGTAGCAAGTCGAACGTTCTAACCACTAAGCCATGCCACGCACATTTAGTGAATGTCACTTGCTTTAATCAGTGTACATGTCTGCTACTATTTTAAACGAAACAGGAGAGCGCTGGTTTCATCAGATCACGTGTGTGTATTAAGATATCAATGAGGGGGAGGGCTACATATGATGGTTTGATCATGTCTGCGTTTGTATTACTAATGATATTCTGAAGAGAGACATAGCCTGTTGATCCGAGTAAGATTTATTATGTTTCAAAAGTTTAGATTGCTTTTGTTGATATGGTCAATCAACTTATTCACATGTTACGAGGTTTTAATAAGATATTGTATTTGTATTTGTTGGTTTGATCAGTTTACGTGTATAGTACGTGATTTTAGTGAGGGAGGGGCAGACTAATTTTTGATTTGACGTGTAAGAAATATGAAATTTTAATGATACATGAAATTATGGTTATTGATTTATTCAGTTTGATCAGAGTATACTTGAATTATTGATGAGATTTCAATATGAGACAAGTAATCAATGTACGCGTGTATTATGGGAGTTTAATGAGACATAAGCCTGTTTTATAAACCACGTTTGGGTTACTGGTAATATTTTGACGAAAGGCACAATACTGATCAGACTGTTTTTATTACTAGATTTTAATGAGACAAAATCCTAATCTTGGCGGTTTGATCATGGTTGATGTGGATAAAAGAGTACACTTTCTGATAAGAGACTTTACTTGCCTGTTTGAGAACGACTCTATAGATCTTTCCATAGCAAAAAGCCATCAGCAGAGTAGGGTAGATGATAGTTGCGAAATACAGGAACACGAGAAAGTTGTAATTCATGACTTGAGCGAAGAAACACCGGCCACTGGTCTCTGGCCCAGAGTTCCAGCCGAAGAGTGGCAAGAAGCCAATAGTGGTGCCCAAAAACCAACAGCCCAGAATAATTGTCGCTACCGCACGTCCAGTCATCATCTTCTGGTAACTAAACGGGTGAAGGACTGCCCAGTACCGATCTACGGATACGGCCAACAAGTTTAGAATAGAGATGGTGCATAACACCACTAGCAAAGACAACATGGTCATGCAGCCACCGAAATTTCCCTCCGGTAATCCTAGCTTAGTCAGGATGGCTGAAGGCACTCCGACCAGTCCAACTAAGAAGTCTGCTGTTGCTAAACTCAAAATATAAAAGTTTGTCAGTTTTCTGATACTTTTATCTAGTCCGAAGACTATCATTATCACAAGGTTTCCGAGTACTGCGAAAACGGCCACGGTCAACTCCAAAACTAAGTATGTAATAGGTAGATGACCAACAGACATACTAACTGATCAGCTGTGACACTCGTAATGTAGTGAAGGTCTCCACGACTTATAAAGGTTTTTCGCCTCGCAACCATCGATTTGGTGATCCCAACGGCACACAAGTTTAGAGACTAACGCATGCGTAACAATGCAGCTTCTAATAGCTGTTAAATTATTCGCAGACATAGCTATACAAGATAATCAACGTTATTACAAGCCAGCGCCTTGGCCAAAAAATAAACATTACTTACTTACTTTATCTAAGACTGGCTACCTTACTGTGTATATTAGATTTTGTCAAGTTCGTAGATGAAAGTCAGCGCTGGCGTTTTTTCACACACAATAGAAACAACGCTAACATTTCATTTATTTCCAATTATATCAAAATATTGATTCTGAAGAATTGATAGAACGACTTTTTATAGTTACTTCCGTTCTTGACGGACTCTAAATATTTAGTTACTTTATTATGAATAGATTCTTATTTAATAACCACCACAATGAATTCTTTAACAGACTATGTTCCTGATAACAAAAGGATCTGGCGTACTAACGTTAACTTCTATAATTTACGATCATATTTTAAGTTAGAACACTACTTGTCCTCATCAACACAACCGTTTAGCGGCACTGTTTTATAACCGAATAGTGGGAAGTGTGTTCGGTAACGCCACATACCTTACCTGACCCTACCCGGGGATCCCCCAACTCCAATACACTAACCACAGCACCACGCTGGAACCAATATGTTACATTAATGTATCCACGTTTTAACAGCATGTTTCTGTACTGAATTGAAACTTTATGGTAAACAGTATGAAAAGATGCGATTGCACTTTTAAGCATAGCTTTGCTTATTAAAAACAACAACAAAACAATTTACATAAGTCGTCCTCTTATAAACCAATCATCTCATTCATGTGATGAGCTACTCAAACTTCCACCAACTACTTATTATGTAAATTACTTTTCCCAGCTATTTGTCTAAAACACTTTATATGCTTTAACTGATAAGTTAAAGTTTACACTTTCATTTTTTGTAATGGTGATTCAGCTTTTGCCCGTCTAAAATAATGTAACGAGTTATGTAAGAGTAGGAAATGTTTTTTTTGGGGGGACTTTTTACTGTGAATATTAGAAAATTTATATTTAACTATTTAAAGTGGTTGCTTATATATTTGATTGGGATTTTACCGTAAATAACATTCGTACATACGACTAATCTTTTTATGAAAAAAATAATAAAACAAAATGTTCACTTTCCTGTAGTGCAGTGGATAAAGAACTTGATCTTTTAGTCCAAAAATCCAGGGTTAGACCTCAGCAAAAACGGCGTTTGTTAGAAAAGTAATATTCGTTAACTCTCTAAACGGCTGTTATAAAAATCACAAGTTTGCAATGTAAAACAGGGTGTTGTCCAATAAAAATTCTTATCCTCTCGTATATGACACTAGTAACAGTGCAATACATGTGTGTATACTTAATGTCAACATTTTATGCAACTTAACCTTTTCAGCACTATACTATACACGAGTCCATTTCCATACACATGTGAGTTTGAATGTACAGTCCAGCATGAAAAAAAAATGCTAAAAACAAATCAAGTTTAGATAACCATTGTTCTTGAAGTTCCATGTTTTAATTTGGGAGAGAAAAAAGTAGTAGTAATTACATAAGGCAATTTTACAAGTTCATTTACTGAAATTACAAAAATGGTGCAGATAGATGGCTACAAAAAATTAACTTGAGAGAGACAAGGGAGTATATTAAGAACAAGTTTTTGTTTTGGTAGTGGGCAGTACAACAACTGCAAGTATCCACCAGGCGGTTAACTTGTCTGTGTAACAGTAGTTGTATGGTATCCACCAGGCGATTAACCTGTCTGTGTAACAGTAGTTGTATGGTAGAGAAGAGTTGAACCTGGGAGGATACTGCATTCTATTAAACAAAGAATCTTACTTTGTCACCATTTAAACCTTTACAAACTAGACAAAGTTTATCATCATATTTAAAACTCTTGCCAACAAAAACTTGCATTTTTCCTTACTTCATATCAGAAATGTAATCAGTTAAAAGGCTTAAACTCTGTTTCACATGCCTATATGTATTCTGCTTTATTGAAAGTAACAATAAAAGATATCTTACAATAGTTGTCTATAGCCACATTCACCAAATCCAAAATAACAAAAATGTGGTGGTGAAAATGTTTATATTTTCCATAAAAGATTACATTTAAGTCTCCACATTGTTGAAACACTGACACTTTACACAAACATACACCACAGAAAAATTTCATATTTATGACAAATCTTCCAAGGATAAGAGTGAAGGGATGACTACTGCTCAAATGATTTCCATCTTCACAGGCCTGTCACAAAAAAAATTAAGGCCCTCAGTAAGGTCTTGATCTTCTGTCACCTCTATCCCTATAGAAATGAGATTCAAATTGAAATTTCATTAGAAAATAAAATTTGTATTTTTCCAGGTTTAATGATATGAATTCAACACACTATGGAATATGTTTGAATACTATACATAAATTTCAAAATCTAGAATTACCTAACCCCACTAATATTGAATTTATTAATCTATATAATTAGAGATCAATGTGCCTGTGTGAATGGGCAGCTTTTTAAACTTCACTGAATCATGCAATAAATATTAGGAGTAGGGAAGTACAGATAACATCAGCCTTTGCATAAAGGTATAGATAGTACTATGCAATGCAAAAGGAAAATTATTTATGGAATAGATCTGTCATCCTTCAGAGCCACATCTCAAACAGCAGTGTTTAAGTGTTAAGATTTTATGTTTGAATTTCTTCATTTGTTTATAGACACTTAGAGTACCAGTACTGTCACCCTGTTGAGTTTTATTGCCCCCAACAGCCAAGTTTGGAAAGTGTGGCTAGATATATATTGCATCTCTTACTAGATAAGTCACTTGGTTTGTCATTTTTGATCAAACCATTCAGCTCAAAGTGTCATTCGTAGTAGGTGTTTGGTGACTATTACAGTTTGTGGAATAATTTAACCTCACAGTTATTGAGACTCCCAACAAGACCATTAGGCTCGTTCAGAACTGTATGTACATAACCTGGTACATGAGTAGTCGAGACAGGTCACTTATATATTTTAATTACTTTAAATATACAGCATTTATTTTATATTTTTTAAACTTTGAAAATTCAAATACAAAATACCACAATCATGTGTTTTAAATGCAAAACACAAGTTTCCCCCCAAATAGTTAATAATATCAGTCTACCAACAGACAAAAATATTCATAACTATTTATACCATATAGTAGGCTGACTCAACTCAAGAGTTTTAGAGCCCTATAATGACTATGGGGTACTAAATGCACATGCCAGTCATCTTCATTTTCACAGTGGAATACTTAACCAAACTGCATTAAACTTGGTTTACACTATCTAAACTGTATCTAGGTTTTGAGTGAAAAACTTAATTAAATGTAGTATTGTGTACTATTCTTTTTAGGTTACAAAATTTTATGAAACTTACATATACCTCATCAGTTTTAACTTGTTTTATCATGTAGGAACATATTTCTTTTGATATTTTATTTTGCTAACAGAAACATTTTCTCTGTGAACCATAAAATGACTACTTGATTGTCAAAGATTTACCAGTGAACAATGACTCAACTTTATTAAAATCGTATCACTTTTGCTTTTATCAATCATCACTGTAGCATCATTTGCTAACAATTTTTTACTGTTTTATTTATCAGGATCAATTTATATATTATTAATAATCATAGTTTGATTTTGACAAGTCCATAACAATATATTCAACAACAAAAAAAAGGAACTTTGTCATCCAAATAGTTTACCATTGCAGGCCTTAGCATACTTAAACCTAAATATCTATTGCCTTGTAATATAAGAATATTCATATTGCTTTAAAACTGACATAACACAAAAACATCATGTGGAACATAAAGACCACCCTATATGAAAAAAGTAATCCATCTTAATACTTACCCAGGTCCTCCACCTCTCATTGGTCCACCCCGTCCAGGACCTCCTCGTCCAAAACCCCGTCCTCCCATAGGTGGCCCCCCACGACCAAGTCCTCCTCTGCCCCTCTCACCACGGCCTCTCATGCCTCCTCGAGGTCCACCTCGTGGCGGTGGCCCTCCAGGACCATCAGACATTGGACTTCCTGGTCCTCGTGGAGCTCTGCAACGGTTGCATATATCTCGCCAAGCAAAGTTGTTGTTCCCACATGAGCTACAAGATTAGAATAACATGTAGATTGATAAAGGAACAGTTAATTTTCTTCAAGTTTCCATAATAAATACACCAACAACTACATGAGATTCTGTTTAGCCACTTAGTAGCACTGTTCTCTCATATAGCTACCTGGAAGGAAGATATGCAACATACACTAACCAGAGTTTACTCTAGCAAATTTTGGAAAAATCTGCGGGAGAGCATGACATTTTGAGGCATTAATTTGCAGCCATATATGGCATTACTTGCTTGTGAGAACTTACTAGTTGCTTTATTATTCAAAACCAGTAAGTAGCCTGTATTTACTTCTTATTTAAGACTATGCATATTAATAGGTGTATTCTGACAAAAAAATGTGTCAAATTAAATTTCAAAAGTTAACCATGAAGACTGCGTTCGGGTTTTAATCTAATTTTATGCCTTAAAAGTTTGTATTCCCAGTAAACATGTTTACTTTTACACTTTTGAGAGAATTTTGATACATTAGAAAGTTTTCGCTGTACTGTAAGTAATTTTGGTCCTGTGTAGTTTAGAGGGGGTCTAATATGGCAATAAGTAGGTCCACCAAGTTAGTGCTATTACTACAGCATTTTTTAACACTTTGTTAATGTCAATGATGTTTCCAAGCTAATTAAATAATCTGTGCTACCGAATAAGATGCTGAACACTTGTTAGCATTTTATCAATGGGGTGTTATTAATACCAAGACAGTTTGGCTTCTAAAAACTATAGTACAAACTTTATTCTCAAACCAACATTCTCAGTAGCCCAATATTTTCAAATTCATGCACAAAAATTGCATCACATTTATGCTTAGAAATTGAGGTTCACTATTACTGACTTTAGAGCACTCACTATATTTGTTTTGAGATGTCTATTATGGACCTGTACATACGTATACATCACAAATTGCCTTGACCCATGTAAACAATAGCTGACCTCATGTATGTCATGTGGTTTCTTGTCTATACAGAGATCCCAGTCACACAACTATCAAGGAAATGAGATGGTAATCAGATTTATCTGCCTTTTTTGTGGGCGAGTTGTTAACTGGTTACGTTTGAATGTTTCTGTCTTTATACTTACACATTTAACAATAAAAAATAATGCAACTAGAATCAGATTATCAAGCAATAGCATTTGATAATTGACCATGAGCTGTTACTTGTTAGCTGATAATCAGCAATCAGTTTCATTGTTAAATTAAAAGATGCTTACTTGGACTTGTAGTTATTATATAATGATCACACACATTTCAGATTGGTGAAAGTTGACAACTTTTACCAATTTTAAAGTGAGTATTCGTCAGGTTACATCACAATATCACATAATTTCTTCCTTTTTCACTCCCCCATCACAAACATCAACACAAACATATCCACAACTAACTGGGCATCACTATGAAATAATGGCAAGGTATAATTATTACAGAGGAAACTGTCACTAATAATTTATGGTTTTACCCTTAAAATTTGACATCCAAGGTATTTTATTCCCAGTTCTGAAATTCTATGGAGAACTCTGTTATAAACAGGATTACGAAGAAGTCTAATAAAAGAAACCAATAACTTTTTAGGGGTATATGCACCATCCCCTTATCAGATCCAGCTTAATTTTTATAGTTCCCCAGATGTTTGTTATATGATTTTGCTTCATTAGCCAGGGAATTGTTGATAACATGTTTAATATGTTGATGTTTATAGGCCTAAAAAAGAAAGAAAGCAGATAATTGGCTGCATGATAATACATATTAAGTATGACAAGCATAAAACTGCACATACACAGTGGTGGTTTAAAGACAGTGTTTGTGGAGCAACAGTTGAAGCAATATGTCAGTGAGGGATACAGTATTTTGTCCCAGAAATACAAAAGATCATATAATTACTACAAGTTAAAGTTAAAAGGCTGAACTTTAAATATCATGAGAGATAAATTGGGTGTTATATGCATATATTTTCAAACCCTAGCATTTTATGCAATCAAGTTAGCACTAAAGAGCATAAAAGTATTATCAATTCTTACGGATTTTGACACTGCCAGTCTCCATCTCTACCACCAGGCATTGGAGGTCCACCATCTCCCATACCACTACCCCCACCACCACGACCACCTAAGAAAATAAAGTAAAATAATTTTCAGTCCTCCACTATAAAGATATAGCAGAGAAGTATTACAGAACCAAGTCCAATGTGCTGTACAAATTGTGTGAAAAAAAAACAAAAAAAGACTGTAGCCAAAATATCTGAAAAGTAAGCAACAGTCACCAATGACACAATAAGCTTGCATAACTCATTTAAAAAAAAAAAAGAGAGAGAGAGAAAGAAAGAAAACATTGCATACACACTTGATTTAACTTTCATAAGCAAATAGCCTATGATTGAATGTAAGCATTTTATAGCTACTAACTTTAACCAATTTCCACTGGAATAATAAGGGGGTGCTGCACGACCAATCAGAGTTGAGAAATATAGAGGATTGTTATGAAAACTGAAGTATTTATTACTCAGTAAACCAATTCTTCATTTAAATATCTTTGTTCTTAAAGAAATTAGTATATCATTACAACAAGGAACGGGGAAATCTGAATTTAGTACACTATTTATTAAATAAACTAATTCTTTTTAACAACATAACAGTGTTGTTACACCAAGATAATATACAACTCAGAGAAAATAAATTCATTTCAATCCCAGAAAGACAAGCAATACAAAATTTACTATGTGGCAAGAAATTGAAGAAATTGTCCTCTTTGCAGATATGAAAATGATTCATAAGGTGGAAATCAAAGTATTATAAAAAATATTAAAAAAAATAATAATCAAGAAATCTTGAATTACAGATGATTTGAGATTTTGTTTTTTAAATCTATTACAGACAACATGAAACTTTTTTAAATAATTAACACCAAACAACTTTATAAACGTAACACTGTAACCTTTTATACGAGACATTGTTGATACAAATGCAAGTTTAGAAAAATATTAATTAATTCAGTGGTAAGGCTAGCCTTTCAAAACTTGTAGTTTTTTTAACAGTATTTTCAACCACAACATTTTTTGTTTTTACAAAGTAGTTAATTTCTGATTAACATTATTATATATTAAGTTAATACAAATAGTAATGGTTCTCCTGATGCCAAACACCACAATATACTGTGATATATGGAATACGGGATACCTCTAAAGGTGTCAAAATCTTGTGCATTCATTTGGATGAAAGATTTATTCAATATCAGTCACCTACTACAACAATACAGTGCAAACTTTTCCAGACAATTTACTATTATTTTACAAGTTTATTTACAGTAATTCTGGAGCCTATAACTACGTAGTTAATCAAATGATTTGTAACCAAAGGAAACAAATAAATGTAAATAAAATATTATGCAAATACATACTCATACAAAAAAGTAAAAACCCAGTATTTTGATATTCTTTGAGTAGCTTAAATTTAGAGCTGAAGCACTGTGGCATTTTGAGACATTCATTATTTTCAACGGTTCAAGGAACGAGAAATGTATGTCATAACAAACGGTCATGTATAGCACATGGTATGATGAAATGTTTGGCAGAATTGCCTAATGCTATGGAGATGCTTGACCACAAAAGGAAAAGTATGTCAATTATAAAGCAAAAATGCATTTTAATTGGTATTGAGAAATAGATGTTTACATTATCCTCAAACAGATGCCATAATAGCAGAGAAAAAGGCTGTGAGAATGTTTATATAACTTCATTAGAAACTGGACATGAGATCCATATCTACAAACTGATGCCATCACAGCAGAGAGAAAGCTATAGGAATATTTACATTAGCTTCATTAGACTATACATGAATTCCATAAAAGGAATTAGTAAGGAAATCAGAGACTCTGGGCAGAACTTTGATGTGAAGACAACGAAGAGTGATACATGTAAACAAGCCTGCCAATTTACTGTCTTTGACTATGATCAATTATTCGATTATTCTTGTTTTTAGTCCCGAGAATTACAAAGAGTGTGCAGAAATTATTCAATTAAGTGACAGATCCACTTGCAGGTTAGACGTGTACACTAGTTGGAAACTCATAAGGATTCCAAAAGAACTGGTATAAAAACCCATGTTTTTGGTTTGAAAGTCAGTCTCCTGGCTTGTAATAAGAAGAATTTGGTCCTGTTGCCAGTTTTTCTACTGAAATCTTGAAGTCTCCTGCCCCATAAAGGAAAGCCATCAACCTGCTGCTGAATTGATTATGTTGAAAATTGAAACTGCCATGACAACATCTTCTTTGCAAGAACCAAGAATTATGCCTCACTCAAGATTCATGTAAGTAAATATTGCTGTCTTTCTCAAATTGAGTAAGGTGGTTAGAATTTGATGTGTAACATATAATGTCGCGAAAAGCTCATAAAACTACAGTAAATCTGAGTACATGTTAATTAATGTTTTAACAGATAATTTGCTGATTATAGTGAGTATTGTAGAGAATCTGATTTACAAGCTTATCATGGAGATACTTTTGCCAATGTTAATATAAATGAATATATAAAATCATTGTATTAAATACTGAAGAGGATTTTGAATCTCAGTCTCAGTCATTTCTTTAGTCTAACTGTAAATTCCTTGAGTTACTGATTTGGGTGCTCTACTAGCATCTGTTACCTGGATTGAAATAACTATTGTGAGCTGGATTAAGTTTAACTCCAAACAACTAGTCTACATGGCATTCCAGCCTTTCACAGAGCAAAACAGATAAAAATTAGAATAAGGTCAACTGGACTCCCCATCTCTTAGATCCATGCCTGCTTATACAACCCTAGAGGGTTATGAAATAAAATTGGAAACCTAACACAATTTCAAAAAAAAGAAGAAGAAGAAAAGTAAATTTACACTTTATTTAACTCTTTAGTAGTCAGTTGCCTTCCCTCTAGTCAGCAGTTCAAAATGAGAGACAGTGATTAGATAGCCCACATTTAGCTCTTACTAATTTTTGTTTATGTTATATCAATTAGAACAGCGTAAAATCTCATATAATAATCCATATTTTAATAGGGTACAAATTAAGTTCTTAATTCTACAAGTCAATATTTAAAAAAACAACAAAAAAACCTGAATTTCTGCTAGTGTGACCCATTTTCTTTTATCCACCACCCCTCGAAAAAGTGGGAAATAAAGCGTACAATACTCTATAAAATTTTTATTGCTCAAACAAACCATAATTTTTATAGCCTTCAATTTTGTTTGGTTAGAGCTATCAATTAGAAAATCAGATGCCTCCTGCCACATCTGCTCTCTTTCACAATTCATTAATGGTTCTCTCTCACGTTTAATTATATGTTACCTATAACCAATAAAAAAAGTCAAGGTTTTCATCTATCAAATGTTGTATTCTGAACAGAATATCATCAATTTCACTCACAGTACAAGATTTGTTCCCATGAGAAAGTTAGTGGCTAGTCTGGATGGATTTGCAGTGGCTCTTGTCATATAATTAGAAAGCCAGGAAAAATTTGAGAGGTAAGTGAATTTGTCTACTTTTTGCATGTTACTAGTCTACATTCTTTGCTGCAATATTTAATTAGTTAACTCTCCCCTAAACTCAATGGCAAGAAAAAAGAAGATTGGGTAAGTACTACTACCAGAGTTGCAGGTTTGCTTCCAGCTTAGTCTCAATTTCCTAGTTCAGAAAGATACTTTAAATTCATACGACTACATGGCAGCTTTATAATTTCTACATCAAATTAAAGTAATTTTTTTAATGATTTAAAAGTAAAAAAATAACTATAATATCAAGTCAGCATTATACATGTTCCTGCTTATCTTATTAAATTTTTGAATGTGAAGTCTTCACATCTATCAAAACTAAAAAGGTTTTTGTAAGAGAGAAAATATAATGTTATGTTAATTAGCAATACTTCAAAAATAAGTGAGTATTTAATACATGCCCAAAATTAGAGCTGGGAAGAAAAAACAAATATAAATATACACACACACACACAAACAGTTTTACAAACAGAATGCTCAAGAAATTTGTGATTTGTGCTTTTTAAAGAAAAACAAAACACAAACAACACAACTTATAACAAAGTTACTCATTTTTAAAACTATCTAAAACTCGTCAGAATGCAGACAAAAATTAAGGCGTGACTCCAGTGATGAAACAGTATGAACGACGCCTTTCTTTTCTTCACTGAAGTTACACATTTAATGAATAAAACGAAAATTTACAATTAATTCATCAGCTAGTCCATTGAACAATTAGGAATAATTAATTGTGTCAGACAAGTCACATTCTTCCCACATATCTTAAGTATTTTATATATTAGTGCTCAGTACAGGACTTCATATCAAATCCTACGAAAAATAAATATCCTGGCAGTACAATTTTTACATTTTTCTGTAACTTGCACACAAAACCTGTGATGGCTAGTGATGTATACAGTTATGAATGCTGCCATTTTGAATGCGAGTAATACTTGTGCACTTACCTCTTCCTCCACGCATACCACTGCCGCCGCCACCACCACCACCACTGCCGCCACCCCGACCAGGCATACCAAACGACTGAGGTTTTCTCTCAGCTAGCTCTACTTTGATAATCTTGCCAAGAAAATCTTTTCCTGCATAGATATATACATATGCATTAAAATATGAAACCAAATTATTATTTTTCCTAATTAGGTAAAACTTTATTTAGAAAAAGAATTCACAGATTTCGTCCTCAAATGAAGAGTAAATACATTATTACATGAAAGGTCCTAATACAATACATGTACAACAAACAAATTATTATAATTAAAATTTTGATTTGAACAATTATACCTAAATGAGTAGATACTTGCTCATGTAATTTGACCAATCTTGTAACCATCATGTAACATTACATACTATAACTATGAATGTACAATGTACCTTTCCAAATTTGGCAAGATTTTAGTAAACATTACAAGTCTGTCTTACAACAAAAAACGAAATTAATAAAATATTTATAGTAAAATATTTTCTATGAATTTCTGAAGCCTTTACTGATTCAATCTGAGTGAAACTTGATTTATGATAAATCCTTATTTTCATTTTACAGTTTTCATATTTCATTTGCTTAACCTCTATAGCCTCCTAAATGAATATTAAATGTTTTAAGGTAAAAGTTTATATTATATTTTCTCTACCCTAACACTGAATGTAGCTAAACCATCAATCTACAGTGACATCAAATAAAATGAATACCTTGTTGCCATACCTCCAATTAACTTCAGAATTTCAACTTTTTACTTTTCCACATATACTTTATTTTATATTTTTATTGCCTAATTTTTATCATGTTGGTTCTTTTTTCATGCTTGGAGAGTTACACATCACAGTATCAGATGTCCATACACTTGTGTATAAGCTCTGGACTTATGCACTCATAGTTTCCTAAGCCTATTTATTTTCTCAAGTTTTTGCCAAATGAAAAATTAATTTACCTTTCACTTATGCATTTCAAACCAAAAAGAATATTTTAATCACTGAAGCAGAATGTCCAAAAACAACTATTAACTGGTTTTATACACTATTTCAGGTAAAAAAATAAATGTTATGAACATCAACTTGCATAGCAACATGTGCCTAATCAAATCCTCTACTAGTCTAATGTCTATTGGTCATAATTTCAAAAGGACCAGTGAAAGCTTGAAGTTTACAATAAGCTCTATCTGTTATTTACAAATCTGACCAAAACTGCCTTGAAAGTAAACCATATTTGCTGGTGTATAAGACAAATCCAAGACAACCGTGGATTTTTTTAAGCAAATTAGGCACATTTCTTTGACATTCAATGTATAGGACGACCTCTGTTGTCAAGTAAGTCTGGGATGTTACTTTTGTAAAGAAATTCTTACAAGTAATTTTTAAAATGTGCTAACCTGTACTCTGGTATAATCAATACAAGCACAAGTGTAGTTTTTTTATGTTCTTCAAATGCTACTGACAGCTCAATGCAGCATAACTTAAGTCACAAACACGTAATAAACAACTTTACAAAGTTTATCACAGCTGATTTCCTTTTATATAACAAAAAAAAGTACTAAAACCTTATGGTATAGTGATCTACTCTAAAAACATGTTTACAAGATTAGTGTACGTTACTGAAACTAACTTTTTTTGATCAGCAATATTTTAGAATGATGGATGAGATTAATACATTTCAAATCAAAAATGTCTTGATTGTAACATACATGCGAGATAAATAACTTCTTGTTATGAAGAATCAAGACAAATGATACAATGACAAGTATGTTATTGTAACAGTAGGTGGCACAATGTTAACACACTTATTCAAAAAGAAAAAGCAAACAAAAGTAAAAAGAACAAGGTATTTTTTGTTAAATATGCTATTAATCAGAGAGTTCTTACTGGAACTCTATCTTTGAACCTGTGTATAAGACGAGAGGTAAAATCAGGCATTGTTTTAAGAGTAAAAAGTATCACCTTATACACCAGCAAATACAATAGATAGATAAAGGCTTCTGTCATGGATAGAGAAAATATATTTCTCACTATAGGGAAAAGTTAGCTTGTTGAACCTGTTTCCTGGACCTTGGAATTGTTTATAGATTGTGTCTAAGATAAGTCAGTCAGTGTAGCTGCTGTAACACTGAAGTTACACAAACTTAATATAAATATTCCTTATAATCTTTCTGTTGCTTTTTTTTTTTTAAGAGAAACATGAGCATCTTTTGCTATTCATTAATTCTATGCCAATTTTGAAATTTTAATATGCAAGATAATGATTATGGTTATTAGTGCACACTTATAATAAATAACCAATTCTGTATGTATAAAAAAAAAAAAGACAAATATTGATAAAGCAATTAAGCTTAATCAGATTTACCAACAGATAGGGTACACGAATTTTGCCACAATAAAAATCACACAATTAATATTTTCATTATGAGTTGATTTTAAACTAGTAAGTAAATCTACAATGGTTGACTTGAAAAACATCAAAATAATTCAAAATCACTATACAAATAAGGCAGAATTCAGTATAAGGGACACTCATGTCAAGTGTGAAGTTTCATACTTTTCTATTTTTGAATAAAAAAAAACTATTGCACATACATCGGCACTGACCACAGTGCTATCAATTTTGAGGGGGATACACTAAATATCATACTTAAAGAAATCTAAGACAAATCCAAACAGTTTTAAAACTGTATATATATAAAAAATTGCACCATAGAAGAATAGTAACCCATCATGGGAATCTATTTAATTTTTTTTATTATTATTATTATTATTATATAGACCACCCCCCCCCCCATCTATTTAAACACATTAATTTTAACACCATTCTAAAAAATATGATATGATGCATATTTAGAATATTATTTGAAATTACATAGCTGCATATCAATAGTTAAATGTGCACTTTGTTACACAAAAAGATTAAAGAGTTTACACTTAGATATTTACCACTGAACCAGGATATAGCAGACGTGGCTGTAGGAGGGTCATCATAAGTGATGGTAGCTTCACCTTTCCCTCTACCACTCATTTTATCCTTATAAATCCAGATCTTAGGCTTTCCAGTTCGTCTGTCCATCTGATAGACATTGACATACAAAGTTCTGATTTATAAATTACTAATCAAATTATAGCTATAAAGTAAAGACAATATAACTTATACCTAAAGTTTGGTAGAAAGATGCTGTAACCTGAATATTGTAATGTTAATGTGATGCTAATTTGGACAGCAACCACCTTGACTGAAATAGTGATCATATCAATGTTTTGAATATTGTAAGACTTTATTTCTTCTAACAATTAAACTAAACACTAACCAAAGGCTAGTAATTTAGAAGTTTAAAAGCTACTTCCACTGCATAACTTATAATACATTCCAAGTTAACAAAGAAGTAGAATCATAATAATTTAAGATTTCTTTCTATGCAAATTGGATATATCAAATAATAAAACAACCAATAAGAATCAAAGATGACGATTTAATTCTGTTTATCAGCAAAAGATGACATATATTACACAGTACACAAACCTTAATCAGACCTATACATCCAAAATGCTCAGCCAACTGCTGTTCTGTAACATCCTCTGGCAATCCACTAACAAAGATGGTGTCCACCATGAGCTCCGCTTCTGGTCCTGAGGAGAGATCCAAGGAAGTTATATAGTACAATTAATGTATATATAATATACATTTTAATGTTAAAATATAAAAAATACTTTTATGCAACATGAGCACAAACTTATAAACTTGTAAAACCCAGTCAAAGTTTCTGATCAAATTGGAAAAAGAAAAAACTTAGAGGTAAAATATGTAAGTCTACCAAAAATATTAATCTATATATAAAACTCAAAATCTTTGCTTGCTTGTATTCTATAAGAGCATTCATTTCTTTGTCAATTCTTTACAATGAGTATTGTAACAACCAAAAAAACAAATTACCCAACATGATGCTATATGCAAAAAGTATAAAACCTAGTAGTAATTTGAGGATTAAAAGATAAATCTTAAGAAACATGGTTTTATTTTTGGTTAAGTGTACAAGACTTCAGAAAAATAACTACACATGAACTCCCTATATGTTACATTGTAAACTACTTTTTAAGGATAAAGTATCAAAGAGGAATTTGGCTGCTCTCAATTTAACTAAAGCTATTATATGATTAAAACAAAATCATGCCAATTTATTCTGAAGTTAAAGCTATGCTTCAATACGAGTTAAGGTAAAACACAAATCACTATTTTCAATTAAAATGGTACTCCAATATGATCAAAAATAAAAAGAGCCAATCCAATTATGCTAATTCTAAATCACAGTTCTAATATATTTAAAAGTACGTTTTTTGTTTTTTTTGCTTGTTGTATTTTCTTACCTCCATATCCTCCTCCATTCATAGGGTTAAATCCTCCTCTTCCTGTTAAAAGAAATACAAATATTTAAAAACAAGCCTCTTTTGTTTCATATCTGACATTAAAGAATCACTTTTCAATGACAAAGCAACAAGTACTCTGTCCTTGCAACTAAAATAACTGTTCCTGCTAAAACTTCATTTGATGACACTATGTTACTGAAGCACTAAAATAGCATTAGTTTTCTAGCACCACAATAGCAAAATAGTTTGTCATTACAGTTCTGTACATTTCTCACCCAACCTATATTCTTAGTTATCAAAAAATTAATTTATGTTATAGCTGTACAAAAGTATAATAGTTTTCATTTGTTAAATATGAGTATTTTAATTTAACCAAAATTACTTTTAAACTGAAATGATCAATAGCCAAATTAACCTTGACTACTGCAAACTAAACACAACCACAGAATAATCATGGTTACATTTTGTAGATCTGTAGTTCCTAGCACTAATTATATTGTAATATTTCATGATTATATTTTCTGTATTAAAAACCATTGTTTTTTTTAACTACTTGTCAGCAAAAAGTTCAGAAAATAATTGCAGCACAATTCAAACTTTTCCGAAATTCACATTAACCAGTAACAAATCAACAGAATAAAGTAGAAACAAAAAAAATAGAAATGAAAACATTTAATTCACCCGCTATATTATATCCTGTCCAAAGAAATCTAACAAAATACTGATATCACAGAAACATTAAAATTATAATCAGTATTACTTCCCACCAATAGTTTTCACCCACACCTGCTTAGAAAACTTGTGTAATTAACAAGTATCATACCTAGTATTTTTAATCTGGATAAAATCTTTAAACAATTCAACACAAAAAACCATAGGATGATTAAATTCTATTGCTAACATGTTGTACCTTTAATTTTGTATACTGTTTATTTTGTTCTATTGATTACAGGTTAAACATTTTCTACTTTTCAATGATTTATCACCCGTTCTGTAGATTTTTCTACAAACTAATACTTTGTTACTATATAAATCAACACTTCTTTGCTTGAAATTCAAGCATAACCATCCTTTGATTCATTCTTCAAAACACAATTAAATCTAACACTTTTTATTTAAAAAATAATAAAAAACTACTTATAGAAGTGTAATAAAAGCCATGCACAACCTTACTGTTACTGACTAGATCCAGTCAACCCAACACATGCTGGTAACTTCACATGCTTATGGTTAAAACTTAGTTTAAAAAAACACCAAAAACTCCCCCCCCCTCCATCTTTTAAATGTATAACATACCATATTAACAATAATAATGTATACATGTTAATTACTATCATACAAATAAATATATTTTTTTGGAATAAAAATACTACTGTTAACCGTTTTGCTCATATGGCTCACATGGATGGATATTTTTTTTTTCCTGGTGATCATTTTCAAATGTTTAAACTACAAACATTTTAGTCCTAATAAAGCATAAATCAAATAATGATCACAAATGCAGCATTGACATGAACCTGATTCCAACAGATTATCGGCAACAAAGTTCTCGTTTTCATTTTGAAAATGCTGTCTTAATATTTGCACATTTGTTTGAAAATATGTATGAAATAAAAGAGGGTAGTTGTAATTTTACTAATAAAAACCAAACAAGGAGAAATTAAACTTTGTATAATGCTAAAATAATTGTTTTCACCAATAATTTTTAAGTAAATATATAACATCTTTTGAGTTTTCAACAAGTTACCTACATGTAAATCTGTGATAACTGTCACAATCAAGTGATAAAAGGTGTTAGGCTTAGTACTTCAGATATATTAGAAAGGTTATAATTTAACCATTAAAACCTTTTTTTCCCAACACCATGATTAAGTGCAATATTCTCTTTAGTTAAGTGAATAACTTTGCGCTCATTTTATTGCTAGCCAAAATCTTCAACTCAGAAAGTGCAAAAAAATTGAAATCATAAAAATTATATTAAAAGAAACCATGTGCAAACTTATCCACATGATAAAACTTAATTGTACAAATTGCACGTTTTACACCATTGTTTGAGGTATTAACATGTACATAACTTTGTACAATATAATGTGTCTTTCTATAAAGTTTTCTTGCTCTTTAGATAAGCTTTTTCTTATTTTTGTGCTATGCCATTGGAAAAATCATTTTACAAATTTAAGTTCAACCACTCAATTGTTTGTAATTTTTATTCTGAGCAACATTTTTTGACATTTCTAGATAAGTTTAATAACATTACATGTAAGACTAAACTTTCAAACTGGATTTTATGTTTAACAAAATTTCAAACCAAATGATGAAACAGGAACTTCAACACCTACACAAGAAACAACACTGAAGTAAAAACAAAGCATGTTTTATCACATTAGCAAAGACAACTTTGGAAAAATTCACCTGAACCTACATAAAATCACTTTCTTTATTATGATAACCTTTGAGAAATGTTACCAAAGCATGCAGGATAACTTTTACATTTTACAAATCCCAACTCATGTTTAAGCATCTGTTTCTGCCAAGTATTACACTAATACAGCATCTGGATTTTACCCTAGAAAACTGTATGATTTCTCACAAAAATCTTAGAACTTACACATGCTGCATAACATTCTTAAACATATTAACAACAGAGCTTCATCCAGACCAAAAACAAAAACTCCTACAGCTGTGAACTCAATTTTTCAATATCAGTGTTTAATGACTAGTTTCATAAGATATTGTTCTTAAAAAAACTTACATATTAAGCACAGTATTCTAAAGTGGCAAACATACATTCATTCCACACATTTTTCAAACCTAGGAAATCTAGCTGCAGCTTAACAACAATTTAAACATATAACCAGCTACTGATAACACCACACGTATTCTTGCAATGAAAGCAGCAAAGATTCATAAATACAGAGATAACCCTTAGACACAGTCTGGAGTTGATGTATGTTATATCAACCTATTTAATTTCTTAGAAAAACTAATCCTTAAGGCAGCTATGAATAATCACTACAACCTTTTATACCATGCGTAAAACCTTGCCATTTGGCTCTGTTAAAACAAACAAACAAACAAATAAATAGTGCTTTCCCAAATAGCTTAGTGGCCTTGAGTTCAAAATTTCACAATTTCTATATGGAGATTTTTTTTTAACTTACCTTTTACAACTACATAAATAATTACAAGAAATATACAGGGAATTAATACATGAGGTTTAGAGACTAGCCACCACCTTTTAGGCATGTCCAAAAACAATTTTCAATGCAATTGGCAACATAAAACAAAAACTGAGCACCACTTCGATGCTTTACCTTTGTTGAAACCGCCCCTTCCAGCAGGCCCTGGATTACTATGATTGAAGTACAGACATTTCAGTGAGAATTCTTCTTCTGGAAAAACTTCAAGCCACTAATTTTTCTAACTTTAGTCCAATTAGCAATGGAACCAGTGGATGATATTAAGTAAACAATAATCTTTAAAGAAATTACTTAAGATCTATAAGGATGTTTTGCTTGATTTTGAAGCACTACATCCAATCATCTACATAACCAAAGTTTATGATAATTTATTTTGTTTTCTTAAATATTCTCAGTGCTTTATACCATTAAACTACCACTGGTTCTTCTGCATAGTTCGGTTATACCTGCTAAAAATACTAGAATAAACTGGTTAACAGCAACAGCCTGCTCATAATAAAATTTATCTCATTCATTCTGTTAAATTTTTTCTGGTACTGTATATATACTAAATAAAACCACATTAACAAGGTGTACTAAACTAACATAATGATTCCTTTTATAAATATAGTAATTCTTAATTCTGCCATTTAATTTTTTTCCATATCACAAATACAAGTATTCTTCTCACCAAAATTAACTTTTATTTCTGGTACATCAATTTATATTTTACCATAAAAACACAGTGCATAATCAGTGCTCCAGATAAGTAAATACAATTTTTTTTACATAAATAAAGTACCACAAAGAGGCACAACTACCTGCCAGCACATATATTGTTCACATATATGTACATGTTCACAACTTCAAAAGAACAAAATCCTTTATCGATAATAAAACAAACTCAAAGCATGGGAGTTATAGAGTGATATGTTTGCATTCCACCACTATATGATACCAAGTAGTACTGAAAAGCCATGATTTGGCAAAACTAGTCCATTGCAGCATGATTAGTGAATAGAATAATAGATTAGGCTCTACACCATTCATAAATTCTTTCTTTTCTTTACTGATATTATAAGTTTGGGCAAGGAAAAATTCATAAATTAGCTATACAGCAATAACTGACTGGTAATTACCTGTAGTTCAGGGATACTGTTGAACTGAAAATTACACCAGTCTAATTTTATTGACTAGCATTGACAAAGTGCTTACTGTATTTAATTTATGCTGTAACTGCCTCAGGTGTCCTTAACAGAATGTTAATACAGAAATAAAAATAGCAAGTGCCTAATAAACACAGCAAAACACCACCAAAATGTCAGGTGTTCCATGATGAAAAAACCATTGAAACCCAAAATCTGTGAGTCTTCAGCACTGCACTATATTTCAAGGAGTAAAATACTCATTATGTTAAAAACTTATGTGGAGCACTGCACAGTTTCAAAATAAGACAATATTAAATAATAAAAAGCACATATTTCAATAAATGAGAACATTGTACTAGATGAGATTATATTTTTAAATCTGTTTTAAGCCAACTGACCAATAATAATGTATTTAGACATTATTATTTTAATTTAAAAATGTTACTTAAAAACAAACTTGTAAAGCAGTATTCTAAAAATATTTATACATTTTGATTTAAAAATGATTAGAAAAGAAAAATGTAATGAATACCAAAATAAACAAAAGAAATTACTCAAAGTTCCCCGGTAAGTTTCAGTCATTTTACACAAGTTTCAGTTGAAGTGGAACCTACACTACCAATAAAAGAAGGATCCATTCAAAAGGATTTCCTTTTTCACTGAGAGTAACTGAGCTTTACTTGAGGATTTATTTTCTTTTTAGACAGAGTAACCACCACCTTGAAATACTTTGAAGCATTTAGTATTCATTGGGTAAACTCCTTTAAATTTTTTTTCTACTACTATAATGATAGGGCCATTTATTCCTCAAATGGTTTATAACAGTTTGTTTCACCAGCAATTTGCTGTGACAGTTAAGCATGACATTAATGACACACACACACCATTTGTTCTCAAAATTCAACCCTTAGCACCTTCTTTAGTTCAATTTTTTTTTGTTCTAACGCATCAATCATTAGGATTTACTATAAAAATCACTTCTTTAGAAATTTTTGAACATATGTTTAAAACATCAAATTTCTCTAACCTAGTTTTCCCTTTACAGTTCAATTAGCTTGAAATAGCCACACCCATATACGTTTATGCTATTTTTATTTACTTGTATATATTTTTTTACTTACATTTTATTATTTGTTTCCTTTCGCACATTTTGTATATTAACAAAATTCCACATCTTACAAAATTTTCTGGGAGCTTACCAATGTATATATACCATATATGCGTATTTTTACATGTATATACAGTCTGGGCTTCCAACCACATCTTGCCAAATACCTTGCCTTAAAAATCATTTTTTGATGGAGAATACAGTAGACAAACTTTAGCATCATCTGTTGAAAATAATACAAATCTGAACAAGAGAGAATCTCTTATTTCTATCAATTCAGTCTGAATGCCTACGTAGTAGAGCTAAAAGGACTAGCAAAAACAGGATCTTTTCTTTCTTTATAGATTTTACTTTCACATTAAACTGGTAAAAGATGCACAGAAAACTACAACTTTCTAGAAGATCTAACAATTACTGAAAAATGTACATCTTCCAAGTTTGGTATATAGTGATTTATGAAATATTCTGTAATTATAAATTATAAGGGTATCATTAGATAACGTCTGGTACTATGAAATAATCTAGTACCATTCTTGAAAAGAACTACATTACAGATTATGAACTGCATAGGGGGTATGTGACTGGATAAGAAAATCTGACAACGAAAGTTTATCAGTGAAATAATACTTAAAGTTCACAATCTATCTGATAATAGATTGAAATAAACCCCAAATATCATGAAAGATATTTACAAACTCCTTTCTAACAGTTTCAAAAGACATTCTTTGCAATCTGTTTCTATTGTAAGAAATTCTACATTTGAATTCTGACCTAAGATATTGCAAATATTTTACCAAAATTAAACAATCTGTTCAACATCCAACACCATCAGCACTTCTTAGTTAACACTACACACACTTTTTTAAACTAGTATTCCAAACAAATGTCAAGCTAGACAAGAATAAGCAATCCTCAATTTGCATTCCTCATAAAACATAGCTCTGACAAGTTGGCTCAAAGACAAGTTTCTAGTTTTATACATTTGTATGCTGGGGATGCTCTGAACTTTTTCCAAATAAAACTGAAACTTTATTTTTTGCTAACCCAAAACAATAAGAAATTAATTTCCTAAATTAAGATAATCAGTTTATGCTCTATTCTTATCTATTCTCTATTTATTCTTAAAATTGTACATTTTGTTAACATCTTAAGAGTTCTTTTCATAATGACTAACTTGCTACCACAAACAACTGCAAATCTATACTAAAGAACCATTCTAAATCCTGTAACAAAAGAATTTCCTTAGTCAGGGATGATCGTGTTCCAATACCTCTGAAAGAATGAGGAAAAATCTGTTCTCTCAACTATTAAATAAGAAATTGATACGTAAAACTGTAATGAAAGTAACCACTACTCACTGTATAGCAAGAAGTAGGTTGCATTCAAAAATGCAAGTTATCAAGGCCAAATTTGTATTTTATCAGTCAGATTTCTACTTCACTTTTTTTTCCCACTTAACTTTCTAAAGTAATAGTCTGTCAGTGTTACTAAACTGACCAATGAAAATTAATTCTTTACTACAAAGTTTGCCCCCAAGAATTGGAAATTCTTGTACTGATGCAACTCTTTGCTCATGAGATATATATATAACTATGAACAACTGACCACTTATACCAGAAGATAATTCTATTTTCTTTGGGAACAAACCAGTGAACAGAAAGTAGTTGGATTTATTTTATTTTTCATATTTGTTGTCTTCTAATCAAGTGCTCATAATAGTAGTATGTAATAAAGAAAATGTATGGTACAGTAAATACACCGAGTTGTACCAATTTCTTACAATTACCATCACCTATGACCCAAATATTTATAAAAAGGTTTTAAGCGTACAGTAAACAACACTTAACATTCATAGCTTTTGGAGATTCAGAAGTATGCACCTGCAACTATATGCTTTTCAAAGGTACACAGCAGACCACAGGTCAACAACCCATTGGATACATTAAACATGACCCAAAGCTACATGTTTAACCACCTGTTACAAGTTCAGTAACTTGCTGGATAGATTCTTTATATGACCCAAGTCTGAATATTTAATTATCAGTTACAAGTCATTGACCAGTTAGATACATTCTTTAACTGCATAACTCAAGATGGCAAGTTTGACCATCCTTTACAAGTTAACAGCATGCTGAATATAAATTTTTTACCTACATAACCAAAAACCATATGATTAACCATCAGTTATAAGTCAGCAACTTGCTGGATATATCTTTTGCCTACATAAACAAAAATCAAGTTTAACAATCAATAAAAAGGTCGGCAACTTTTTGTATACCATCATCATATAAACAGCCCAAGATTAAGTCTAAACACACACACATTCTTTAACTACATAACCCAAAGATATATGTTCATATCAGTTACCAGTTACCAACATGCTGAATACATTTTTTACCTACTAAACAGAAGTCTAACATTTAACAATCAGTTACAAGTCATCAGCATGTACCCAAGGCCACACATTTAATCATCAGTTGTAGGTTTTCAGCTTATTAGATACTACACAACTGAAGACTTCTGTTTAATCGAAGTTACAAGTTAGCAGTGTGCTGAATATATTCTTTGCTTACATAACTCAAGTCTGCAAATTTAAATATCATTCACAGATCAGCAACTTGCTGGATACAATGTTTATGTACACAACCTAAAGCTGCATGTATTATACCATCAGTTACAACTTAGCAGCCTGCTGAATATATTTTTAAATGAACAGCACAAGTCTGCTTGTTTAATCATCAGTTATAAATTACCTGCCAGATACATGTTTTATCTAAATAGCACAAATCTTAATTTTTAATCAGCAGTTAACACAAAACAGTTTTTCCAAGCCTGCTGCCTGAATAAAACATTTTATCCTGGTGTATAGGCTACAAAAAGTTTTTGTCAATAGCACCAAATCAGTGTCCAGCTTTATTGAGAAATTACCCAAATCAGCTGTTACATTAGAACATTTTAATTTATTCAGAAAGGAGCTTTAACCCCCTTGCATCATCATTATATCTATCCATTAAATTATCAAGTCAGCTGACACACAAAAAATATTTTATCTTGATCAGCCAATCCTTCACTGTTACCATGTTTTTAATTTTTCAATTGCACCCATTATTCACTTTATTCGATTACATAATGTTTTACCATAATCGGATGGTAACTTTCCTCAATGCTACCACATCTCTTTTTAGTTTTAAATATAATTACCCTAACAAAATGACACATCAAAACGTTTTACTCTGCTTATTCTGCATCAGTCTTCAATGTTACCATGACACTTTTAGGTTCTACCAACCAATTACAAATGTTAGCTAAAATTTTTTTACCCTCTTCAGGTAGTAACTATTCATGAATAATATAAAAATAAGTTTACAGGACAACCAAATAATTACCTAATTCAGCAGTTATATAAAAACATACTCCATCATGTCCTGGCATTAACTTATTTTTACCTTTAACATTTTTCATTCAAGTGGTCATTAGCTGATAATAAAACATTTGCCCTGGTTAGTCTTTTCTTTTACTGTCATAATGTCATTATTCAGTCCTATCAAGTAATTTTCATATTCAGCTGACACGTAAAAAAATTATTTAACCTTTTGTGAATAGGAACTTATTTTAACACCTACCACGCTTTTGTAACTTCAAGTAATTTCATAAGCTATTATCTTTGACAGCAAAATAAAATATCTACCCTGTTCAGGTAGTACTTGCTTTAAATGCCACCATATTTGCTGTATTCTATCTAATAATTATTCAATACAGCTGGGACATAAAAAACCCATATTTTGATAACACAGTCACTTTCCACTTTCATACTGTAATTACTCATATTAGTACATCCCTTATTTTCTGTCTAGAAATTATTCTTATCAGAATATTTTACTCTGTTTAGACAGCTAGCCTTTTGCTCTGAATATAAGGTTTATGCTCTACTTAGTAGTTACCCACATTAATACATCTGTCTCTGTTCAGACAGTCCTATTTCACACTGCCAGTGTACCACTTATGTTCTAGGTAGTAATTATCCACATTAAAACATTTGAATCTGTTCAGGCAGTCCTATTTCAAACTGCCATTCTACTACTTATATTCTATCTAGTAATTATCCACATTAAAACATTTTACTCTGTTCAGGCAATTATGTCTCACATTGCCACTGTACCACTTATGTTCTACCTTGTAATTACTCCATGTTGAAATATTGGACTATTTAGGCAGTCCTATCTCACACTGCTACTGTACCACTTATGTTCTACCTTGTAATTACTCCATGTTGAAATATTGGACTCTATTTAGGCAGTCCTATCTCACACTGCCACTGTACCACTTATGTTCTACCTCGTAATTACTCCACGTTGAAATATTGGACTCTATTAGGCAGTCCTATCTCACACTGCCACTGTACCACTTATGTTCTACCTTGTAATTACTCCACATTGAAATACTGGACTCTGTTCAGGCAGTCCTATTTTACAATGCCACTGTACCACTTATGTTCTACCTCATAATTACTCCACATTGAAATACTGGACTCTGTTCAGGCAGTCCTATTTCACACTGCCACTGTATTACTTATGTTCCATCTAGTAATTACTCACATCAAAACATTTGACTCTGTTCAAGGAGTCGTCTCACATTGCCACTTATGTTCTATCTGGTAATTACCAGCATTGAAATATTTGACCCTGTTCAGGCAGTCATCTCACACTGCTACTGTACCACTTACACTATCAGGTAATTATCCACATTATTATATACCACTTATGTTTTACACAGTAATTACCCACATTATAACATTTGCCTCTGTCCAGGCAGTCACCTCACACTGCCACTGTACCACTTACATTCTATCTGTTAATTACCCATATTACAAATTTGACCATTCAGGCAGTCATATCTTACTGCTACTGCACCATTTATGCTCTATTTAGTGATTACAGTAATTACCCACATTATAACATTTGCCTCTGTCCAGGCAGTCACTTCACACTGCCACTGTACCACTTACATTCTATCTGTTAATTACCCATATTACAAATTTGACTGTTCAGGCAGTCATATCTTACTGCTACTGCACCATTTATGCTCTATTTAGTGATTACCCACATTAAAACATTTGACTCTGTTCAGGCAGTCATATCTTACACTGCCATTATATCATTTATGCTCTTTTTTAATAACAACCCACATTAACACATTTGTTATCTCACTGTACCACTTACATTCTACCTCATAATTACCCACATCAAAACATTTGACATTGTTAAGGAAGTCCTATATCACACTGCCACTGTACCACTTATGTTATACATAGTAATTACCCACATTAAAACATTTGATACTGTTAAGGAAGTCCTATCTTACACTGCCACTGTACCACTTATGTTCTACATAGTAATTACCCACATTAAAACATTTGACTCTGCTCAGGCAGTCCTATCTTACACTGCCATTGTACCATTTATGCTATATTTAGTAACTACCCACATTAAAACATCTCACACTGCCACTGTACCACTTACGTTTATCTAGTAATTACCCACATAAGCTGCCATATAAAATGTTTTATCATTTGTTTCAATAGTACTAAGTCACTTTCCTATTAAGTAATTAAAGGAAACTGCCATATTATGGTATTTTACCCTGTTGAGGCAGTCCTATTGTCCACTGCTAGTGTATCACTTATGTTATATCTAGGAATTATCTATATCAGTTGCCACAATAAAACTTTTACTCTGTTCAGGCAGTCATATCAACTGCCATATCAAAACATTTCACCATTTGATAGTTCCTTTCAATTCTGTAATTATTCATGCCAACTACTACATTAACACATTTTACCATGTGTTATATTTTTCCAGTGCCACATACCATTATTTAATTCCATTTATTACAAGCCCCCAGAACCACAAGTTTTCATATAAAAACAATTTATACTGTTAAGGCAGTACCTTCTATACTGACAAGTCTAATCCTTCTCTCAGACTTAAAGATACCTTTTAACTTGTTTCTCTGTGCAACAACTTGTGTTGTAAATATCTCGTAAAGTTGGTCACTCAAATGTGAAAAACCTTTGTGTCTAATTAAACAGTGGTGGAAGAGCACTACCAACTCATTCAGAAACAGCAATAATGTAAATATTCAAACAAGGCTATCATATGAATTCTGGTTTGCCTGTGTGTCAACATAAAAGCTCACCTGCTTCAAAGCATTTAAGAATCTGTATTACAAACGTGTTTTATGATAAGAACAAACCAAGGGTTCTGAGAGCTAAACAGACAGACTTACAGATTAACTGATCAGCAGTGGACAACCCACTAAAACAAGCCTTGTAAACGTGAAAACAGTCTTTTCTTAAACCAACTGTCCTTATGAGTGGTGTAGCCTCATAAAACTATTACTGTCTTGATACAAATTTTATAATAATCAACAAATATGTAATCAAGGATCAGCTGTTAAATTTTATTAATTCTTTCAGCTTTTGAAGTTTAGAACTCTTTCGAGGTTATACCCAAATGACAAAAATTTCACATCCTTTATTCAAGTGAGATTTAATTTTTTGAAAAATAAAAATTCACGAGTTATAGCTTCAAAAAAATTGAAACTTACCCAAACCCTGGTCTTCCATGATCTCCAAATCCTCCAGGATTTCCTGATGAACAAAATTTTACTTTAACACAATATTTTTTGAGGAACTATTAAAATCAACCACAAATACTAGACATACTTTATGTATATATAAAATTAATTCTTACTGGCTTGCAGAAACATGACATACCTTGACCTGTAAAGCCTCCACGTAATGGTGGGCCATATCCCCCAGCTCCTGGTCTCTGTGGTGGACTCACTGGTCCACTTTGAAGAAGAGGTGCAGAAGGGGGAATGCCACTTGGTCCAGGAGAGTAAGTAGCAGGTGCTGGAGGTCTTGAAAAATCCTGAACAGGTGGGGGAACTCCCTGTGGTGGTGGCTGTTGAGTTGGGGGTGCAGGAACAGGTGGGGGTGGGGCAGGAGTCAAGCCATAATTTGGGGCTGCTACAGGCTGTGCCTGAGGTGGTGGTTGACTGCTGTAAGTTGGCTGCTGTCCGTAAGTTGTTGTAGGGACAGAGCTATAAGAACCATATGATGTGGTTGTTCCATATGGTGGCTGACTGATGCCGTAAGTGTTCTGAGAAGTATAGGTTTGTTGGCCAGCAGGTGGTTGCACATAGGCTGATGGTTGTGTAGTACTGTAAGTAGTGGATCCTTGTCCATAACTTGCTGTTGTAGCTCCATAGCTAGAATATGCATCCACTTGACCTACATAAGGAAAACAAAAACAAACACTCCTGAATCACTTTGCTGTGTGACAACTTAATCATCAAATTTAATAATTAAAATATATACAAGCCAAAATAATTTTTAACCCCTTGAAATGAAAACTGACCACAAATAATGTATATCACCTAATACCTTGAACGGTATGGAAGTTCTCACATTTTTAGCAAATACTAACTTTAATATTATTTGAAATATAAAAAAAAATCAATCAAGTAAAGATGACAGAGAAATGGTACTGAAATTTGGGAATACTTTCATAATAATTTAAAACAAAATACTAACCAGATGCTGGGCCATAAGTTGAACCTGGTTGCTGACTATATATATTATACGATGTTGTCTGAGCAGGCTGTTGAGTATAATCCTGACTGTATCCAGTGTAACTGCTTGTAGCTGTACTAGCTGTACTTCCACCCCAGGCTTGTTGTTGAGGTTGCTGCTGCTGAGGAATTAAACCTTAGATCATGTCAACCATTTTACATGCTTAACAAAGATTTCTTTACTCAATGTATAAATTATATACACAATTAAAAAAATAAATCTTTTTGCTAACCCCACAATGAATGTAAGCTTCCAAATTTATTTAAAAAGTGTGTAGGAAATGTAATTATGAAGGAATTACATGCTTTGTTTATATAAACATACACATAAAAGAATGCAGATTTGGGTGCAATGAATTTACTTTGTCGAAAATTATATTTTGTAATTGCTAGTTGGCAGGGTGTGCAATAGTTGCCTTTTATTATACGAATTAATCTTGTGCGGTATGAAACTCCTCCAATTATATCTTCAACTGCTGTAAGCAAACCAAAGTTAAAAAAAAGTATCATCTCTCCACCAAGTGAAATAGTAAATCAAAAGGACTTAATGGTTTCAAGATTCTGATGTTGCTAATACTGCACTTTATACATCAAAATCCTAAAATAAATAAACACATGAAGACACCGCTTTCAACAGTAGTGACAGAAGCTGACAGGTACTGTATTTCAAATAGAGCTGCTGCAGCCTTTACCTCAGCTGTTTTGGAAGATATGGGCATTATTCAAAAAAATGACAATGCTAAAATTGTCTATAAAACACGATACGACATGAACAAGAAAAATACCAAGAAACATTACTGACTTCTGATGAATCAAACTATATGATATAAAAGATATAACTAAAATTGTCATTAAAAATGGGCAAAAACATTATAAATGTGTAGTCATGGCTCAAAGCACATAACTTTGGTCAGTAAACCTGAATCAATTTTCATGGATCACATTTCTCCCTCCAAAACATCAGAAGGTATAAAAAATTCTATCATTCAGTGGTTTGAAGACAACAAAATTTCATCTGATCATTCCGTCGCTGTAGGTTGTGACGGCACATACATCAACACTGGAAAAAAAAGCTGGAGTTATGCAGCTTCTTGAATTGAACTTATGGAAGACCTGCTCATTGGTTAATTTGTTTGTCACATGCAATTGAGTTACCCCTATATCATCTAATTATGCATCTTGATGGAGTGACTCTAGGACCGTCTGCTTGTGAATCATTGCCTTCAGTAAACTTATTAGTTTCAATCGATATTACAGAGCCATTACCGAAAATTGACCATTCTGAGAATCTTAGTACAGATCAAAAATATTTGTATGACATGTGCAATTTGATAGCGTCAGGTCATTGCTCAAGAGAACTTGCTTTACATGACCCTGATACAATGAACCATTCTTGCTCGTTAACAACAGCAAACAGGATTTTGCACCTTTATGTCGCAACTGCTAACCCATCCAAGAGGTTTAGTTTGTTAGTGAGATATGTAATTGAAGTGTATGCAAGAGTTTGGTTTAATATCAAGAAAACTCCCTCATGCAGCCATGGCTCACTGCACCTTTTTCTACTTGTAATAAAATCACATTCCAAATCAGAGAAATATGTGGTGGATAGAGTAATTCGGAGAAATGTATATTTTATCCACCTAGAAAATTTGCTGCTTGCAATGCTTAGAGATGATTCTAAGGCTATCAGACAACTTGCTCTTCATAAAATATTAGCTGCTTGATCTACCTCAAATTCTAGCACAAAGAGACAGTTTGTGGTTCCAAATATTAATGCAACATTACACTGATCTAATAATGTGGACTGAGAGTAGAGCCACCACTGACAAAAAATATAAGCAATGAACAGTTGGTGTCTTTCATTAATCAAGATGACATGCCAGTTTTCATGTTCAGCATACTGTGTCACAAACAAGTAGTCGAAAGGCATGTTAAAATATTAACAGAAGCTTCAGCAGCTGTTTGTGGTTATTGCAGAAGAAAGGAATTCAATCTTGCAAAATCATAAAAATTTAATACTAAGAAACAATATATAATCCAGTAATTATATTGCCTGGTGGAAGGGTGGAAATCGAGATGCAAATGCTTCCTTGTGGGTAATTTAGGATAACACTCCTGAATTAAGTAAATGTTGCATATCCAAAGTTATTATGAATATTTTAAGGAAAATAACCCCCCCCCCCCTTTATGGCAGTACAAGATATAATTTTAGAAGCCTGAAACTTACCCACATAATTACTACTATTAAAAAGCATCAATTGCACACCTTGCCGATATAAAAAATTATATTTTCGATGCACATGCAATTTCATCTTTTTTAAAATCACAATAATTTTATTACATGATCTTAACTAACAGAGACTATTATACAGAAAAGAAATCAAGTGCTTTTTTTGCAGGCAAATATAAATCCCATTTCCAAACCAAAATTTCCCAAGATTTAAAACTTTTTTTCCCCCCAATGGATTCGATGAGCCCTAGCAAAACTAACTAAAACTGAAGCAACATATAAACAAATAAAAAAAAACACTAATGAAGTTAGTTTGACGATCAAATGGCTAGTTCAAACAAGGTTTGAGTGCTTTTGTTTTAGAAAACTTTGTAATACAGTTGTTTTAAAAAACACTTGCAGACATTAATTGCTTAGCAGTGAATGAGATTTGTCCTCATTAATAAAAGGAATATAACATCCAGATTAACCGTTTTCAGTTCTTTGATGTTGAAATAATAATTGGCAAAAGTACTTACATGGGTTTTTCTTTTATTTTGCTATCCAATGTTGATGACATTTAACCCCACATTTTTTTTAAACTAATGGTACTGGTGCACCAAAATAATTTAATTAAATAATGCACCAAAGAACAAAAAATAATAGCATGCAAAAAGCATACAATGTCCCATAATTATCACAATTCTTCTGGCTTTCTAACTAAGCAACAAGATCCATTAAAAATTCAGCTAAGCTTATCAATGTATTTTTCGTGGGAATAAAGTTTGAACTGGAAGTGAAATAGACAATTCTCTGTGCAGAAAACACCATAATATAATATGTCATTTGATAGATTAAAACCTTAGCTTTCTATCGGTTAGAAATAATATAGTATTAAATGTCACAGACAACTATTAGCAATTTCTGAAAGAAAGGATGCGACAGGTGGGCATAGCAAGTAGGGTCTGATTTCCAATATGATGGCTCTGTAACCAAACAAGATTGAAGGTATAAAAATTATACTTTGCATGAGTGATGACAAATTATAAGTAATTTATGTTCAATTTCATACTTCTTAAGAGTGATGGTAAATAAATTAGAGAATAGGGGATACCTAGAGAGCATATGTCATAATTCTCACACTTGAGGAAATTGAGGATTTTTTTAAATATTGCCTTATAAAATTAAGAGCTTAAAACTTATATAATGTTAAAATTTGGGTTATTAGCTACTTTTATGCCAAGTTTATTTATATACCATGATATGAAAGTACTTTAATTAAATTTTGAATGTAACTCACTAAAACCTCCTGACATGGGTATAAGTGATGCCCATTCTGTAAACAATAACGATGAACAAATACTCATGATTATGGTACTCAGTTTACTGAAGAGTTAGCCTGTGTCGCATACAGTTAAACTTATTTTTATGATAAGATACATAACACCTAAGCCGATGAAGAATTATCTGTAGATCTGTTGCTTGTATGATACTGTCAAGTCCTATTGTGATGTATTATCACATATGTTAAGCATTAATTTCTATTTATATATACTGCAAACTATATTTGGTACAAAACTGTGAGAAACCAATTATGAAAAAAGTTTTCCCCACTCGATTAAAGTTTTTGCATGTGTTTTTTTTTTACCACTTAATGTGTAACTCACATCATTCTTCAAGTCCTACATACATCCTCCTTAGGTAATGGTGGCTAAGTAGTGCTAAACCAAATTGACACAGATTAAATAACAGATGTTTGTTTCTTCAGACTACTCTTAGTAACACAGAAAAAAACGAAGGCAAAATAGAGGGGCACCCAGTACAGTGCATACCTCCGCCATGCAGCATTGATCATATTCGGCTCCAAAAGAAATTCAAAGATGCGTACATATGTCCATCCTTATCAACAAACATGGACCATTTTTGGCAGGACAATGAGGAAGAATATTCTACTTAAGTCCAACCATGTTTCATCAAAATCTAATCATTTTTACTGCATTATAGCACACAAATAATGAGTAAAATTGGTTCCCTTGTTAGCAGATATGGAATTTTTGGATTTTCATGAACTTGACCCTCCAAAAACTAATCACTTATAAGTCGGGTCATATTTCAAATTTTGTCCAGATCCATTCACCATTTTTGATAAACATACATAGGGATGAAAAATATAACCTCCATCTACCTTCAGTGGCAGAGATAATAAACAAAATGCTGATATTAGTGAAACATTATTATAATGGGTCACATTTTTCAGAAACCTACCATTACCAGTGTTTGAAACTGAGATTATCAGCTTACACTAGTTTCTGACAAATGTTGTTCTAAAAATGGATCTACCAGGCTTAAATTTCAGGCATATAAATACAAACGTTAACATTGACGTTCATATATATGTTTATCAGAAGTTTGAAATGGCTATCTCTGAACCATTTATCACACCCTTTTAATAGTTTTTGTTTCGAGTTAAACTGTTATAAAACAATGTTTATCAACCATTACACAATTTCATAATTCTTACATTGACTAAAAAAGTTCAAAAATGTTAAGGATGCTTAGAATAAAATTAATTTAATGTAACAGTAAGCAAAGTTTTTCAATAAATTTCTTGACATAACATGCATTAAAACAGTTTTTGCATTATTTTCCATTAGGTTTTACACACCTAGAAAAAAAAGGAATGCACAAAACAATTTAAAACAACATAACTACAAGGAAAGTTTTCAGCAGCCATACGCAATATACATAAGAGGGTATATTTAACACACATACTTTAGTCTCAGATGCATGTGTAGTTTTTAACACCAAAAATGCATTTTACCCTAATGAGACTAGTTTAATATAAATACTTAAAACTTCCAAATTAGTACTTCAATTTTAGTCTAATGCAAAAGCAAATGACTGTTGTTTTCAAAAACCAATACTCACATAGAAATTAGTGTAGTTTTTAACACCTATGCTTACAACTTAACCTAACGGATGTTTTAATATAAATACTTACACTATATCCTACACTGGACTGACCATAAGTTCCTTGGGCATAACTTGGATCAGTTCCGTAGTTCCCGTAAGAAGCACTGTACCTATAAATCATAATATTAAAATATAGAAGAAAACTTTATCGATCCATATAAAAATATCTTTTTTTTTATTTCAAACACACTGAAAAAACGAGCAGTAAGTTAGTGATTATTTAATGAGTTGAATTTTCACCTCCCTACCCAAACAAAGTTTACATTTGTTAGTCACATTTCTCATTTTTATAGCTAAACCAGAATTCATAGTTATTATTCCATAAATGTTTAGTCATTGTCCTTTCAGACTTTAATTGTCCTGGATTATATGTAATGTTAACAATAAAATATCATTGTTTTACCATGTTAATGCTAACTCTAAGCCACTCATACTTTTGTCCATTTTCTAAAAGGCTTCTTTTTCAAAACTGTCATATTCTGGTTTAATTTTCATGTCACTTATGTGCAATCTCCAAAAAATCAAGCTTTGTTTTAGGCCAAATATTAATACCTATTCAGCAGCCAAATATTTTAAGTTTTATTCTTTACCAAGAACAGTATAAGCTAGCAACCTATTATTGGCAGTAGGAATTTATAAATAATAGATTAAGGCGCATATCAGCTTTTAACCAAAGCAAGCTACATGCATAGATCAGAACTAAAAATATATATCTAATTCTGAGTATAGCTAATAAATATAGGGCTCAAACTATACTTTTTATATTATTCAGTTTTTGTCTGTCCTGAAAATGCATATGCATGCACACTTTATTTCAATGGATGTAAATATAACTTAGACATTTTGAGCAACATACTAAAAGCTTATCAAAGGTCTAATGTAAGGTCACTGAATAACATTACAAGTTGATTTACTGATAGTACTAAGTATGGTAATGTTTACCTCCAACTAAAACATAAAAATTTCACAAAATGGTGTTATTTACCTCTTTCAGATATAGTCCATACCTAATGAAGGCTTAACTAATATTAGGCCCAAGAAAATTGGACTTAGGTTTTAGTGTGTGCAAATCGAATTGTTTCGTATTATTCTAAAATTTCTGTATTTAAAAAAAGTACTGTTGCAATAAATATATTAATCTGACTGCAAACATTTTGCAGGTCTCTGCTAGTATTTCTTATAATGATTAGAATGCACTGTTTCATCAGTTAGATACCATCACTGTTAATAATATTGTCAGCCATAAAACCAATAATAACTTAAGGTTCAGACAACCCAGGTTTAGATTTGCTCCTAAACTTAATACTAACCTAACAAACAATGCAGAATAATCATAATTAACATAATAAATTAGATATACCAAATATTCTAACCAATCAGTACAAGCAAACTACAAGGATTCAAGAAGCAATTCAAATTTTTTAAGCCTATGTCAACATTTTATTTTAAAAATACTGATTTTTTTAGGGTTGCAGCAATAGAATAGCATCAGTCAAAAACTGAAAACTGACTTTTTAGGCCTTATCTTTTGTGAAATATTCTTACTTATTTTGAACAAAGGGTCCAAAATCTGACCCCAAAATAGATCTCAATGAAATGACATGAATTTTTATTCTCTACAAAATTAGTATTTCAAAGCCAGTCCAAGGATGAACAGTATCAAAAATAACAATGTAACAAATATTGTATAGTTTATCCATTTTATAAATACAAAAAGTAGAACTTGTAAACAACAAACTTATTCAATGAAACCCAAAATTAAAAATAATTTCAAACAAGTCATAACAGGTTTGATTTAGTATCTGATTGTCATGGCATTACATGTTTTAACAAATCTTCAATTTTTCCAGCCTAGCATTAAGCAATGACTTTAACCATTGAAAACTACAATAAATAAATTTTTATTTGGTTCTCAAGTAAAAATATTACATGAAATTTTTCAAATTTTCAAAGCAGAATTTTTTTTTACAAATATCAAAATACATAAATAAAAATATTTTATTTACAGAAGTTATATTATCTGTAGAAAGTTCACTAAATTTTAAATGTTCATCCAATACTGTTTTTTTTTTGCATTGCAATAAAACAAGCCATACAACATGTGCATCAAACTGCTACACCAGCATTTTAGAGTTAAGCTTCTAAGTTAATATAAAACAAGGATGCTGTACATTGAAGAATGTACTTCAAAACAGTTTTGTAAGAAAAAGCTTTACCTACCCAATTGGCTGAGTACTGCTGCTGTAAACTGTATATTCTGGAAAAGAAAATTATTTCAATTTACTTATAAAAGATACATTTAAAACATTTCAGGTAAACCAGATCTAATATTGTTATAAAAAAGGAAACAAAGACTCATCCACTCCAAAGAAATTAACAATCATTACCCTCCACAACAATGAAAGTAATTAGAAGTTAAATATATTCTACAACACTTAATTTACCAGTACAAAATTTAAAAGTATTCCAGGCCATT